AGTTCCAACTGGTTTCATGCAACCAACATCTCGGCATGATTAGAATACATTGGAACACAAATGCTGCAATGGAGAGAACGAAATGGGTACAAATAACATATCTCATCGATGCCACATCCACGAGTGAGCAATCTGTCCGAGCTGCCCCAGTTCCAAGAATCCACTGAAATGAAGGTTTCCATTTCGTCATGGAGGTACCCCAAATCATCCAGTCGTCATGGACCATGACTTGGTATTGAAAACCATGGTGACTTGGTGATCCCCATTGAAAAAATATTGCCAATGATTTTTTTGTGGATTTGTGGACATGTGTATGACTTCTTCCAGTGGTTGTAAACCATGTACCATGAAATGTGTGTCAAGTTTGTCATTGGTCACCACCCTGGGACGATGCTTGAACTTATGATACGCTTACTATCCTTTCTACCCATTTCCCGTTTTAACTCCAAGAAGTGTAGCCCTGGCCCGAGTCCCTTTCAGCGGTAGGGCTATTAACAACTGAAGGCTCGGGTGAACCTATCTAATGGCCATACCCCCATTCCTTTGTCTGCCTGGGGCAGCTGGCTTGCGTTTCGCCGGCGTCTTTCGAAAGCAGCGGATGCTTGGAGATTTGGCTGAGGTGCTTTTGGTTGGCACTGATCGCACCATGATTTTCACATCTGAGGTTCCTCTTCACTGTTTACCATGCCTTGATTTGTGAGATCAATCCCGTTTTTCTTTGTTTGGACTCAGAATCAACAGTGATTCCATTTGAGCCATTGGCAGAATTTTCATGTACCATCAAAGAAGTCTGTGCTGGAATGGGAGGGATTGGACTGGGATGTGCCCTGGCGGATGGCCTTGTGCTGGCCTCTCTGGATCATTCCACCATTGCTTGCCAGCACTTGGAGCTCAACCAGCACGGCAAGGTTCTTTGCAGAGATCTATGTGATGATCAAGCCAAAGGGGAACTACATGTGCTTGGTGGGCGCGCCTCGACACTGGTGGCAGGATTTCCATGTCAACCGCATAGTGTACAAGGACGTCGGCTTGGTTCACTAGATCCACGACACCAAGTCCTGACATATATCTTGCGCACAGCCTATTTGCATGTGGTTCAATGTCTTCTTTTAGAATGCACTCCACAAGCACAACATGATGCAGGGGTTCGCAAAGAATTGGAAGATTTAGCCAACATCATGGGCTGGTCAATCCATGAGACGACACTTGCTCTGAGTCATCAATGGCCATGTCGTCGCCACAGGTGGTGGGTTCTTATGTGCCCCGCCTCTTGGACTTCTTCTACTTTGACGAAGTGGCCAATTGCTGATGGCTTTCGAACTTTGAGCTCCATTCTTCCTGGATGGGGACTTTGGAGCATAGATCATGAGACACAGTTGCAGCTGACCACAAAAGAGCTCAAGTACTATGCTGATGCAGCATATGGCACGGACCAACGATTGCTGGGCATGAACGACATGGCAGCCACCTTTTTGCACAGCTACGGCTCGGCACTATCACATTGTCCTTGCGGATGTCGAGATCACCCCTTTTCTGAGGCCACTTTGAGGGAAAAGGGCTTGCGAGGCAGTTTCGTGGTTTCGCGATTGCATGGACAACCGAGATATCTCCACCCTGTCGAGCTCTTTGCACTTCATGGAGTTCCATTGACGGTCTCTCATCTTCCTGATCTTCGTGCAGCACTGTGCCTCATTGGCCAACTGGCTTCGCCGCTTCAAGCTCTTTGGGTCTTCTCACATCTGTGCTCTCTGGCAGCAGGTCATGACCTTTCAAGCACAAGGGCAGCGGCACTGGAAGCATTGGAGCGGGTCAAGAGACAAATGATCCGTGACAACTTCCACTGGTTCAAGCACACCGATGACATCCCCAGACAACTTCATGTGAACCTACCGGATGGGGCGCAAGTTCTCATCTTGACTTCTGGGGCAACCACAGTGACAAAGTTGCTTCGAGCAGAAGCCATCAATTTGGAGCATGGTGAGATGATGCACGTCTGTAATGGACAACGACCTTTGCCGGAGGACCAAATCCTTCTTGAACAAGGAGCCTACGGCCCCTACAACATCCAGGTCACCCAGGGTATCGACCTTGACGATCCTTATGGGCAATTTGCGATTGTTTTTGAGGCCTCTGATGACACACACGTGGCAGTTCTACGGCCTGGCTCTTTCTTGTTTCAAGCAGTTCAGCAGTGTGGAGTCGAGGGCATCCATCACTTTGAAGATGAAAATGGCAAGTACTATGGACTTGACTATCGAGTATGGGGCAGCTTGAGTCTTCAAGCTTTTTCTGTCCCCATCAACTCTATTCCCTTGATGGCATTTGGACTTTCGCCGGGGGAAGCCACTGGACTCACTGACGTGACCATATGGCATGCCATGTCAAGTATTTGCAGACAGACCTTTGGTCCCTATGACGAACCGCCTCTGATGATCCCACCTTCATCGGCAAGTGCTCTTCTCGATGGAACAGCTACTGGATTTCTGTGCGATGGACTTCGACAGCTGTTTCAAGTGAGCAACGGCAGCATCTACTGCATTTTCACTGCCAAGCACCACTGGGCGTTGCTTTGTGGACTGGTTGAGGGGCAAAAGCTGGCATGGACTTATCTCGATGGACTTCGAGGCCACATCTTGCCTGAAGCGGTGAACCTTGCTTGGACTTTGAGCTCGGTTCTTCGATTTCCATGTGACTCAGTGGAACCATGCAGCTGGCAACCCCAGACATTGTCATGCACATGTGGTACTGTTGCCATCATGCATTTGTGTCTTGTCCTTGGCTTGGATGGACATTTTGCACCAGCAGAAGAACAGCGGCTTCACTCCATCTTGGTGAGCCATCAGGGGGCCAAGCAGGCATTCCGACCTACGGGACGAGCCTCAGATCTACCCGATCGCCTGGCATCTTTCCTACAAGACAAAGGTGTCCCACCAGAGTCGGCACTGACGCGAGCCACAGATGCCATCAAAGTTTTGGGCGCCTCTGCAGTTGCTGAAGCTATGCAGAGTTCCAACCCCTGGGCATCTTTGAAAGGACTGGCTTCTAGGCCCAGCACTCGTTTCCGCTGGGTTCAAGAATCTGAACTGAAGTCCCACATTGCACAGCAGGCCAACAAGAAACATGGTGCACAAGTACCAAGAGCCAAGCAGAAAAAGCAGCAGCACTCAAAGGCCAAACAGGTCACCCAGATTGATCCATCTACTCTGCGCCTTTTGCCCGACACCTTTGTCGATGATGATGGTGATGAGATCCCACAGATCTCCTTCGAGGAGGTGGGGCAGGATGCCACTGGACTAGCCTTTTGCACATATCAAGAGGCCAAGCCTTTCATTGATGCGGCAGAGACCATTAGCACCACTACGCTTGGCTTGCTCATCAATGCAGAGATCCCTATGGACTTTTGGGGAGAGGCTGCCATCACTCACCTCTGCTTTCCTGCACTTTGTACGGCCACAGATGAACCTCTGCTTCTCCATGGCTCACTACTGACGCTCAGCGACGGCTCCATTCAACGGAAGGAGCGACAGTCACCCAAGTTGGAGGTCATGGACACAGAGATCTTGAAAGTTCAGATGTTTCAGGATGAGATCTCATTGCCATGGCAGCAGATCATCGCAGGTCCTGTCAAAGCCCTCTTGCAATTGGTGCCCCAATTTCGCCTTTGTCCTGGTCGCCAATGCGGCAAAGATTGCTCCTTCTTCCATGCCCCGGTTGGAGAAACGCTCCAAGGAGTGATCATGGATATCTGGGCACGCAACTTCCACAACCAGCAGGGCAAAAACACCAAAGCGGAATCAGCTCACTACTTTCAAGTGATGATACGAGTACCTCACGTGGCTTTGGACTTTTTGCTGCGTTCAGGTACCCGAGGTGTCTACATAGAGCCCCGCTCATCCAGCACGAAGAGCCCTCATGAGGACTACTCTGTCATTTGGCTAGCTGGACATGACCGAGATCAGGCACTCCACAAGCTCAGAACTTGCACACATGGGATCGCCATGGCGCGTCTTCATCAACGATACGGCATCAGGGTGGCCAAGACCCATGAGAAGAAATCGCATGAAGAACTTCGCCCTGATGATGAGTTTGTGGATGTCGAAGTTCGACAGGTCTACACCATCTTCCCAGTGCCTTATGGACTTCAAAGGCCACAGATGGTGAAGCTTTTAGAAGCATGGAAGTGGAATGCGAAGCCTTTGCAACCAGCAAAGGGCAACCTTCAAGGGCAAGCATGGACAGTGGGTGCATCAGAACCACCTCCCAACAAGGTCCTGCCAGGCTTTGAACATGACGTTCTCATCACTTTGCAGAGGGAGATGACCTCACCTGCCGTGCAACAACCGCTGGTTGCTTCCAACCGAACCAGGCGCTTCTTGAAAGAAGGACAACCAGCTGCAGCAAGCTCTTCCAATCAAGATCCTTGGCTTCATGGCCCAGATCCTTGGTCTTCATGGCAGAAATCCACTCCGGCATCAACTGCAGCAGCCCCAGCAGCGGCTTCAAGATTTGCCCAAATCCAAGATACAATCCGCGATGAGATTCAGAAACAAGTTCAGCAAGCACCGCCGGGACTTGCCCCACCAGATGATGTCAAGCGCTTGGAGGTCAACATTGCGGAGCTCCAGGCGCAAGGAACCCAATTTCAAAAATGGTTCCATGAGGCGGGCCAGCGAATGAGCAATACGGAGACCCAACTTGGTCAACTACGACAGGTTGTGGAACATCAGGGGCAAGCAGTGTCGGCTCAAATCGCCGAAATCCAGCAGGAGGTGGACAACAAGACCCAGATCTTGCAAAACACTTTGCAAGGCTCAGTGGCCGCGATGTCCAATGATCTATCCAATGCCTTGGAGCACAAGCTGACATCCCAGTTTGACAGGTTTGAGGCCATGTTGGCCAAGAAGACTCGTTGTGAATGACTAGGGCAGCCACGTTGTCAGCGTGCCACCACTGGCAAGCGTGGTTTCAAGATGTGGCAATTTGCGTTCCTTTGGCTCCTCATGCCTTGGGTGTGGGCAGATGGGCTCCAACTACGCCATGATGACCCTACGTCACCTTGCTCTTTGACTTCGTTGGACTTTTCATCTAGCGAAGAAGTTCCTCTAGCTTCATCAGCTTTTCGGTTCGGAGAAGCTGACAATCCTGGTCCTGTGGACTGCCATGATGATGATGAGGGTTGCCTCCTCTTTCCTCCTCTTGCGTGAGGGTAGGATGTTCCAATGCATGTGGCCTACGAGGCAAAGAAAGTATGGCCCTGCAACTCGGAAGTGGCATTTGGTGTTTTTCCGAGACTCACCTTACCACCGTGCTCCAGCGTACGGTGGCAAACACTTTGACTGGGCTTGGGCGACAACTGCATCGTCAAGTGAGGGCACATTTTGGTGCCCCAGTATGTTTTCGCAGTAACTCCATGCAGGCTGGCACTTGGAGTGGAGTTGGCATCCTTAGCGACTTCCCTTCTCGGGAAATCACTCTTTCATGGAAGAATGGGGAGCGCTCTTCTGGAAGATTGATGGTTACCAGACACCTTGTCAACAACATGCCGTTTTTGGTGGCAGCGTGTTATGGTTTTCCTGCTGGTCCAACTTGGCCTGATAGCAAGCGATTGACCAATCAACTTGTGGCTACTTTGTCGCAAGATTTGGTGGTGGGTGGCACTGGACCACGTATCATTGCGGGCGACTTCAATTGCACTAGCCAGCAACTGGATGAGTTCAAGCTGTGGGAAAGCTACGGATGGTGTGAAGTACAACAACATGCTCACCATTGTTGGCAGCAACCCATGGTCCCCACATGTAAGGGCTCCACGATTGTTGACATGATGTGGATGTCCCCAGAAGCAGCCAGAATGTGCACCTACGTGGGCCACACCCAACTGTTTACGGACCATGTCACTCTTTTTGCTGACTTTGCGGTCCCACAGAAGATCACCAACATTTTGACTTGGCCACGCCCAACCTCGATACAGTGGGACAAGATCAACCAAGAGACCTGGCACTACAATTTGGGCCGCTCTCCAGCTCCTGAAGAGGTCGCCAGTTCATCCACGCAGTTCTTTTCAGAATGGGCACATCACTGGGAGACGGCACTAGATGGGTGTGTACAAGATCAACCAAATGGTCATCTACCGCACACCTTCAGAGGGCGTGCCAGACGTACCCAACCGCTGAAAGCATCGCTAACTTCACCGGTGTCAAAACCTTCACGACAAGGCGAAGTGCAGCTTCGGTCAGACTTTGTTTCTGCCCAAGTCCAGCTATGGTTCAAGCAGCTGCGAAGGCTACAGAGCTACAAGCATGCAGCTATTGCCAATAAACAGACGCTGGACGCTGAGGTCTATCGGCTCAACTTGTGGACAGCCATCAAGAAAGGACGTGGATTTGATGGTTTTTTCAATGAATGGTGGTTGCGAAGGAGAAAGAGATCACCTGCCGCACCTGACAGTCTTCCACATGCACCACCTGATGGCTTCATTGCGGAGCAGATCTTTTTGGATTTCAAGCAAAACTTTGAGGCTTTTGAGCAGTGGCATTGTCGACAACGTCGAAAGCTGCTGCAATTGAAATACGACCAAAGCTGCCACAGACTGTTTCATGAACTGCGGCCCCCCAAGCGCGACCAATTGGATCTTCTTTGGCACACCAAAGATTACACAATCTTGGCGGTGGACCAGGCCTCGCATCAGATTCATGTGGACCAACCAGTACACGACCTCACTGGGTGTGTTTGGTTTATCAACAACATGCAGGTGGAAGTTGAGTCAGCTGATGAGGATGTGCTTGGACTTCATGCTCTTCCTCATCAGGTTGAACCAGGTGACTTGCTACAATGCCACCACTATTTTTCTGAAGTTGAACAAGTGCATCAAGCCTTGGTTGATCTTTGGAAGCCGCGTTGGCAGCAGGCCAGTTTGGTGGGAACTGAACAGTGGAACAGAATTATGGGATTCATTCAGGCATACATGCCACGCCTGCAATTCCCTGCGCCTGATATTTCACTTCAAAGCTGGAGGACAGCCCTGACTCATTTTCCAGCCAGACCTGCCAGAGGAGTCGATGGAATCGATGTGGCAGACCTGAAACAACTGCCAGACAGCATCACTTCCAACCTTTTGACTTTCCTGGCGCGGATCGACGGTGTGGAGAAACCCTGGCCAGCTCAGCTGCTCTATGGGACAGTGATTAGCTTGGCCAAACTAGACCCAGCGCATTTGCCCAGTCATTTCAGACCTGTGGTCATTTTGGGGACAGTATATCGAACATGGTCCAGGATGAATGCGCTTCCACTTCTTGGCATTTTTGGACAGATTGTCCCTGCATGTGCCCATGGTTTTTTGCCTGGCCGTGAATGTGCACAAATTTGGTTGCAACTCCAAGGCTTCATCGAAGTCTGTCTACAACAGGGCATTGAACTTTCTGGATTTAGCACTGACATTGAGAAATGCTTCAACAATGTGGGACGTGACTCCTTGATGGCGCTTGCGGGTCACATTGGCATCAGTGACTCCCTCTTGAAACCATGGAGGGCGTTCTTGGATGGTTTTGTCAGATCATTTCAGATCCAGACAGCTTTGAGTCAGCCTGAACGCAGTACACAAGGACTGCCTGAAGGGTGTTCGCTCTCAGTGGCAGGCATGGTGCTCATAGACTGGGCTTTCCATGTCTATATGGCTGCTCTGGCCCCTTCAGTTCATGCTTTTTCATATGTGGACAATGTTTCAGAAGCCGGACATGAAGTGATGAGCGTGGTTTCCAGCTTTTTCTCCACCATCTGCTTCTTTCAACTTTGGGGTCTTCTGTTGGACTTGGGGAAAACCTACTTTTGGAGCACTTCTCCTTCTTCCCGGGCCATTTTACGTATCCTGGGTTTGACTCTGCAGTGCGACGCTTTGGAGCTTGGTGGTAGCATGACGTATGATGCTGCTCGCAGAAATCGGCAGCTACGACACAGGGGTGACAAACTCACAGATAAGTGGGACAGACTCAAACGAAGTCCATGTCCACTCTCACAGAAGTACATGGTCCTTCCAATGGCTTTTTGGTCTTCAGCTCTTTATGGAGCAGCTTCATGTCCCCTGGCAGATAACTATCTGCATCAACTTCGACAAGCCGCCAACAGGGCGCTTCGCTGCAAGCATGCAGGAGCTAATGCCCTTTTGCGATTCTCCTTAAGTGACAAGATGGACGCAGACCCAGGTTTTTTCCATTTGGTTTCAGTTATCCAGACATTTCGAAGAGTTTGTGGGCGTTCTCCTCGAGTTTTGGATTGCTGGCGCCTATGGCAAGCTTCCTATGATGGTCGCATTACCTATGGTCCATTTGGCGTGCTGCTGGAGGTGTTGAATAAGGTGGGCTGGAGCGTCGGAGTACCTCCGATGGTGACAGATTCAAATGAGCATTTTCATGACCTGCTTTTGACTCCATGGATGCTTCTACGACATTTGCTGGAAGATGCGTGGCTTTGCTATGTAGGCAGCACCTTGACGCGTGCCTCTATGCGATCATTGGCCGGCATTGACTGCTACGTGGTGAAATGGGGCAATTCCACTCTGACTCCGTTAGAGCGCTCGCTGCAGTCTGCTCTGCAGTCAGGAGCTTTTATGGATGCATGGACTCAAGGCAAGTTTGATGTCACCAAACAGACTTTTTGTAACCAATGTCACTGTCCCCAAACTCAGGAACATGTGTTGGTTTGCCCGAAATATAGGGACTTAAGGGATCAGTTTTCTCTCACCGATGAGCTTGAGCAACTTCCGCGGCATCTCGCTTTGCACCTTCTCTGCCAGAGATCGCCGTGGATTGATGATCTTCGAGCTTATTTCCTTGGTCTTCCTGACAACACTGAGGATTTTGTTTCCGCCCCTTTTGGTTCTGGAACTCAGCATCTTTTTACAGATGGAAGCCATACAGCCGACGGACGTTTTGAGACACGACGTGCCGCATGGGGGCTTCACAACGCTACAAGTTCTAGGCCTATTGGCTCAGGGCACCTCGCGGGATTGCCTCAGACGATAGCCAGAGCCGAGCTTACGGCCGTCATTGCAGCTCTTCGATGGTCTTTGCTTTGGGGGGTACAGGTGCACATTTGGCTGGATGCGCTTGAGATCCAGAAAGGTTTGCAACGAAGACTGGATGGATACTGCACTTCGCTAGATGAACGCAATGCTGACCTTTGGTTCATCGTTGATGATCTTCTGGCACGGGTGGCAGATAACCTGGTCTCAGCCACTTGGATCCCCTCCCATCTGGACTTGATGAAATGTGAATCTCCGTTTGAGGATTGGATCGCTACCCACAACGGCATCGCAGATTCACTTGCCGTTAGTTGCAATGCTGATCGGCCACGCCGCTTTACCCAGCTGTTGGCGTTTCAGAAGAAGTGGGATGAGAGACATGTCAGTCTGCTGCAGAAGCTTCGAAAGTTTTACTTTGCGATGTTTGAACGAGACAAAACCTCCAAGCGTACTTCTGTTAGCGTCCTGATCGAATCCAGTGACGAGGAAAGTGAGAGTCGTTTGTATAGTTTTCTAGATACTCTTTCAACTGCCATGGATCCTGATCATTTTGTACAGCATTTAGGATACCCAGTTGAATTTCTGCAATCTTTATTGGTTTGGCTTCGAGCACACGAGATCCACGATCAAGTTGCTGTTCCTGTTAGTTTTCTTGAGATCACTTTTGGGGTTTTGAAGATTGCTCCGGTGCAGTTCCCGTTTCGAAATCCCACGACGGGGAACTGGACTCTTATGGACCGCAGATCTCAGTTCGTAAGGCCAACTTTGACTCATTTTTATGGAGTCATTCAGAAGGTGTTTCGGTATCTTTGCCGGCACTGGTGTGATGGCACTCCCTTGTGCAAGAATCTCAACAGATCAGCACTGGGGGTGACCATTCCTTTAGAAGGAGTTTGCTTGAGGCTGGCGCCAGACATTCTGGCAAGTGTACATGAAAGCCTAAGCATTTTCACTCGCCCGAGGCCAATCCGGCGCTCCTGCGATTTGGCCAGACCAGTGGCTTAGACCTGCAGACCTGTCTTCTGCGGCACTGCTTTGCGGCCGTGCCCAGGGGACATGGAAAGGTGTCCGAGCTAACTCCAAGAAGTGGAACATTGAAATCTAGTTGCATGTTGATGTATGTTGATGTTTTCTTACTATTCCCAAGTTACTACAACACGCTTTCACCATCCTTCGCAAAACGGGCAGGCCACGCGGTCGTCACCCGCATAGCGCGACGCGGCATTTCCAGCATCGGCAGTTCGGTGACACCGTTCTGGCCCACGGAGCTGGATGCCAGCGTGTCCGTGGCTTGGACAGCTGGTTGGCTGAACTGGGTATGGGTCAATACCTATAGATACCTTTTTTAATGGGATGAACATCCATTTACCAGCTATTTTGGGGTTCACTAAGTACCAGGGTTTTGACACACTGCCAACTGGGTGGATAGAATTGTGGTAAACTTGATGGACGTGGAAAAAAATATCGAACACACATGAACACACAATTTGAGCTTGCTGGTAAATATACTAATCAAGTTTACCATCAAATACCAATATCGATGTCAGTTTTGGTGGGATATACATGTGAATTTCAAAGTGTTTGAGCAACAGAAAGTGAGACCTCCAAGGCGAACGGATGTGACACACGAGAAGTTTTGGCTGGTGAGAGAAACGTTCTGGGGTTGTGACTGCTTCCCACAAACGTCCAGGTAAATTTCGGCATGGCGGGTTGATGTTGATAGCGTGTGATTTTCCCATAAGCAGGATAATATGATGTAATATGCGCATGATATTGGTTTGTCTCAAGCTTGGAGACGCCCCTCGTTCCCTTGATTTATCATACAGGGTTCACTGTTATATTTTGATGTCCACAACTGGCGGACTTCCCCTTTTTTGGACAACCCATTTGTTTTAGATATGTTTGTCAAACAAAAAACATATTCTAAAACATGCAATCTTCACACGCACATATATATATAGATAAGATATGTTGGACAAACATGTTTTTGGACAAAGCATATGAGGGTGTCCATAAATAGGGGTGCCCCACATGTATGGAAACCCCCATAGTGGATCCATTGCTGACCAATGGGTACACCATTTATGGTTGTTTCATCCATAAATACGATACCCGGCCTGGTAAACATACAAAAAGCTTTTGCAAATGGCCATAGAAATAATTGATTTTAACAGTTTGCTATTGAAAATTGCCATAGAAATAGTTGATTTTAACAGTTTACTATTGAACATGGCCATAGAAATAGTTGATTTTAACAGTTTGCTATTGAAAATGGCCATAGAAATAGTTGATTTTAACAGTTTGCTATTGAAAATAGCCATAGAAATAGTTGATTTTAACAGTTTGCTATTGAAAATGGCCATAGAAATAGTTGATTTTAACAGTTTGCTATTGAAAATGACCATAGAAATAGTTGATTTCAACAGTTTGCTATTGAAAATGGCCATAGAAATAGTTGATTTTATCAGTTTGCTATTGAACATGGCCATAGAAATAGTTGATTTTAACAGTTTGCTATTGAAAATTGCCATAGAAATAGTTGATTTTAACAGTTTGCTATTGAAAATGGCCATAGAAATAGTTGATTTTAACAGTTTGCTATTGAAAATGGCCATAGAAATAGTTGATTTTAACAGTTTGCTATTGAAAATGAACATAGAAATAGTTGATTTTAACAGTTTGCTATTGAAAATGGCCATAGAAATAGTTGATTTTAACAGTTTGCTATTGAAAATGGCCATAGAAATAGTTGATTTCAACAGTTTGCTATTGAAAATGGCCATAGAAATAGTTGATTTTATCAGTTTGCTATTGAACATGGCCATAGAAATAGTTGATTTCAACAGTTTGCTATTGAAAATGGCCATAGAAATAGTTGATTTTAACAGTTTGCTATTGAACATGGCCATAGAAATAGTTGATTTCAACAGTTTGCTATTGAAAATGACCATAGAAATAGTTGATTTTAACAGTTTGCTATTGAAAATAGCCATAGAAATAGTTGATTTCAACAGTTTGCTATTGAAAATGGCCATAGAAATAGTTGATGTTTAACAGTTTGCTATTGAACATGGCCATAGAAATAGTTGATTTCAACAGTTTGCTATTGAAAATGGCCATAGAAATAGTTGATTTTAACAGTTTGCTATTGAACATGGCCATAGAAATAGTTGATTTTAACAGTTTGCTATTGAAAATGACCATAGAAATAGTTGATTTTAACAGTTTGCTATTGAAAATGGCCATAGAAATAGTTGATTTTAACAGTTTGCTATTGAAAATGGCCATAGAAATAGTTGATTTTAACAGTTTGCTATTGAAAATGGCCATAGAAATAGTTGATTTTAACAGTTTGCTATTGAACATGGCCATAGAAATAGTTGATTTATCCATTAAAAATGATGATTTAGCCAGCTATAACATGGTGATGTTCCATATGTAAACGTAAAAACCAGAGGCTAATGACGTCCCGCCACGGTTTTTTGTCATCAGGACGGTTCCTTGAAAAACTCCTTGGGATCCCTGGGGTCTCTTGGCTCGGCGTGCCTTGGATGAAGTCACGGGACAGACACCTGGAGGTTTCCAGCGAGTCATGGGACCCAAAAAGATCAGATGGCATTTTCCACGGTCCCCATCCAGCGATAAAGGGGTACCCTCTGGTTATGTCAAAATAGCTATTGAAAATGGCCATAGACATGGTGGATTTTCCCAGCTATAAAATGGTGATTTTCCATAGTTATGTAAACGTTTACCAGAGGGTAACCATCCAGCGAGCGATAAAGGGGTACCACCATTTATGGAAATGTTTACATAGCTGTTGAAAGATCCACCATGCTATTAGTGGGTAAATCAACTATTTCGACTGGGCCATGTTCAATAGCGAACTGTGAAATTACCAGAGGGTACCACCATTTATGGAAGCCTCCATTTGGTTCTGGTGGTATCCTGAACTTAAAGGATGGTGTTCCATTGGATTTCCCCGAAACGTTGATTGCAAGATGTTGACGTCGAGCCTCGATCTTCCGCTGAAGAGCATCATCCTGTTGTTCTTTGCTCCCTTGTCTCGAGCTGGTTTGGACGTGGTTCATTTCAGATATATATATATATATATATACATGTATGTATATGTTACACACATATATATATATAGACATATATATATATATATATACATACACATATATATATATACACATATATATATTTATACACAAACATATTTACATATATATATATATATTATATATATTTGAGTGGATTCTTGGAACCGGGGCAACTCGGATAGATTATTGCTCACTCTTGGATAATTTGTCATCGATGAGATAATGTTATGTACCTATACCAATCCACCTCCCTATTGCAGCACAATGTGTGATGCCGAGTGCATGTTGGTTGCATTACCAGTAGCTGTAGTTGTGCTGTTGTTGCTGCTATCGCCGGACTGGTCAGAAAAAAAAACGCACTGTTCTTTGTAATAGAGATGCCTACAATGAACCTTACAATTGCGTACACATGATTTTTGAGCTGCAGCTATTGGATGGCTATGTAACCTGTGTTTGATATCAGAACAAACTGTCCGTTTGTGGGCCCTTTGGTGTGTCATGTTTGAGCCTCAGCTAAATGTTCACTACTGCCCGCCAATTTTAGATCTTATCTATGTAGGCTACACGTCGGCTTGTAAACATAATACGGTAATTATATGATATGTAACTTAATATACATAGATACCATAGATACACACATTCATTATTGGCGCGTGGTCCCTTGGTATTATCATTATGATACCCAGTTTAAAATATATATATATATTTACACAATTTATATGCTCCATGTATGGAATCTGTACGTACATGAAGCCAAAAAAATGCATTCCATACATATGGGATACATATCTATAGCCCAGTCGATAGAATATGGAATGTTCAAACATATTAGTGATGTTGTCAAATCTCAATATTCTGTCTACTCCAGGATGATTATATATATATGCACATGTATGTATATATATATATACACATGTATCAAAATATGTATGTGAATATATATATATATATTATATAAATGTATGTATTTGCATATGGGCTATAACATTTTTCTAGTTTATATATATATAGATAGTTATATACACAACAACCTCACTAAAGTAGGAATATCAATATATAATAGCAGATAAGACACATGGGAAATTAATCTTAATATGATACACATTGTCTAGATATACATTGATTGGTTGATTGCTGAATTATGTTAACTATATATATATATACATACATTAATAATATATAGATATATGCAAATACACGGACTACACACAACATATAATGATCATATATGCTATAGATACACATAATATAGGCACAATATTACACACAATCATAGACATACTATAGATATATAATATTATATGGATTATACAATGCAATCTATATTCATAATAAATATATAACTTGTACTAATAGTTCAATTATATATATATATACAGTATATCATTATATATATACATATTAATATATATATACTATTGTACAATCTATATTGTATATCTACAGATTATATACTATCTTTATACATGATACAATGTGCTGAGGGAGCGTACCGCTTTTCTGCCGGGTCGCGGCATAGCCTTGAGTGGTGATCTGGCGGACTTCGCCGGGTTCGGCAGGGGGCTGGGGTGGTAGTTGGACCAAGATTTTGCCACGGAAAATGGGGATTTCACCGTGAAAGTCGAGGATCTTGCCGTTAAAAATGTGGATGTCACCTAGAAAAAGATGGGATTTCACAATCCAAATGATGATTTGCACATCAACCTTGGTGAACAACCGCGGTTTAAGTGTTTGCAAAAAACATGCTGGGTTCAGCCATGACAAATTGGGATTTAACATGATTTAACAGCACTTACCCAATGAATCAATGAACAATCGATTTGTTTGAACATGTACTATGCCCTATGGCTATGTCATGGACAAATTGATAAACGATTTCGACTTTTGAGGCAGCAAGTTTTGTTGGACTCCATTG